CTTAGAGTTGAGCTTGATAAGACCAGAGCACTAAAAACATAACAGAGCATACAAGTGTATTGTTAAATCTATTGAAAATAACTACAATTTCCTGCAACCTCATATCTCTTTGAAAACAGACATGCTAAAACAATTTCCAAACACACTATAAGGATGTTAGACTTACTGGGCGAAATTAAAGTATTGGCTTTCTCAAAGAAAAACTACTATTTCACATGCCTATCCATTGTCCTCAGACTCTGCCCATCGTCAAATGTTACCCTTCACATTGCTATTGACATCAAAAGAATTGGATTAGGCCAAAAGCAATAAAAACTCAAACAAATTGTAGAGACAGAAGGTAGAAAAGAAAATCCAAAGCAATGAAAACCCAAACGAAAATCCAGAGAAAATAAACAAATGAAAGTAGTATAAATATCTTTTATCCACAGAAAAGGAAGAATAGCAACTAATGGAAAATTCAAAATCAATATTGACACAGAAGAACAAATGAAAAACCAAATTACAAAAACAATTTACAACTTAAACTTGTGTATTTAGAAATGTTAAAGATCACAATTCAAAGACAAGATAAAATGATCCTCTGATCTCAAGATATTCTGTCAAATCCACTATGTCCTCTCCTAAACTCCTCCACAATTAATAGAACAATGATAAGCCAAAGGATACATATATACACGGTGGTCTCACTCAAACATAAGGGGCTCAACTCCCATTTTAAAATTTTGTAAGACAAGAAGAACAACTTATGACATGGAAGGAGACAAATTATCAACAGGAAAAATATCTTCTGCATTCTTTAATTCAGATTTCTTTGATAAAGGTCCAATACTTTGGAAAGTGTGCATACAGTGTACTTGTTGAGAGTTCTAATACTCCAAGGTTCTTTATTTTTAATTTTTTTTATTAAGAAAATAATGAAAAAAGGTAAGTCGACAGAGCCACAGACTTTACAAATATCAGTTTTCTTTCTCTTCCATATCCATGAATTGGAGGCAGACTAGATTAATATTCTTGTTTAAAACCTTCACTCTGTACCTTTGTTTTTTACCTCCCAAACTTTTACCCTTATGTAAAACAATCTGGAAAAATTTTAAAACAGAAAAAAAAATTATACCTATGAATTCTCAGATCTGGAGAAATTTATGAGAAATCCTACATGCAAATGTCAGAATAAATAAAAAGAAAATTGAGATTGTATATATGCTCTGCATAGGTATAATTTTTTGATGCTCTGCGAAAAAAAAACAGAAATAATGAAAGAAATTCTATTACCAATTGATTCGTACTAGATTGAATTCAACTACAATTGAAAAGTTCACCAAGAGAGAATGAATCTTTATCAAACTCGAGAATGACCAAGACGACGAGATTTGTGACGTGGATGGCGAGCTCACCAAGAAGGCGCGATGGAGATCTATCAAAGAACCTCAGGCAACATCGAAGACCGGATATGATGTTCTAGGATTTTCCCATCTTGCAAGGTCTCTAGATCTGTTTTCAAGGACATCGTCGTCGTTGACTGTGAAGATGGCATCAATGGCGGCTGGTGACGACTGATGCGAAGAACGATGGCGTTGACGGCGTCGCTGCGTCGATGGCGTCGATGGCTGGTAGGTACGTATGAGGAGTAGAAAGGTGAGAGATGGAGCATTTCAGATACCTCAGGAGGGTTTCAAGAAGAGAGGAGCTCAGGAGGTTTCAAGGAGGGAGAGATAAAGTTTTCAGAGACGGGGGAAAATCTGAAAATTTGTCGAATGCGAATTCACTTAAGTGGCCTTTTCTTAGCGTGTTTTAAAAGATGACGCTTGTTAATGAAAGATAAGGTTTTCAAAGACGGGGGAAAATTTGAAAATTTGTCGAGTGCGAATTCACTTAAGCGGCCTTTTTTTAGCGTGTTTTAAAAGACGACGCTTTTTATAAAAAAACGTCATCTTTACATATAATACACGACCCTTTTTTTTTAAAAAACCGTCATATTTACTTCATAATAGATGACCCTTTTTTAAAAAAACCATCATCTATTACATATAATAGACGACCCTTTTTTTAAAAAAAACGGTCATCTTTACTTCACAATAGACGACCCTTTTTTAAAAAAAAAATCATCATCTTTACCTATAATAGACGACCCTTTTTAAAAAAAAAAAAAACCGTCATCTTTACTTCATAATAGACGACCCTAAACCCAAAAAAAAACCGTCGTCTTTACATATAATAGACGACCCTTTTAAAAAAAAACTATCATCTTTATTTCACAATAGATGACCCTTTTTTAAAAAAAACCGTCATCTTTACATATAATAGACGACCCTTTTTAAAAAAAAACCGTCATCTTTACATCATAATAGATGACCCTTTTTATAAAAAAACCGTCGTCTTTACATATAATAGACGACACTTTTTTTTAAAAAAATGTCATCTTTACTTCACAATAGACGATCCTTCACTACTACATTTTTGTACTTGCGCGACGGTATTTTGCGCGACGAACACATAATCGTCGTACAAAACAAGTATGCGCGATGGAAAAAATAAACCGTACCGCAAAAAAACGCGACGAAAATTTTTGTTGCGCAAAAAAAGTATGCGCGACGGCCAGAAAAAACCGTACCGCACAAATACGCGACGAAAAAAATTGTTGCGCAAAGGAACTCTGCGCGACAAAAAATTATATTGTCGCATATAGTGACGAAAATTTGGTCAAAAAAGTGGATTTGGTGGCACACTTTGCGCGACGAAATGTTTAGTCGCGCTAAGGTATAATGCGCGACAAACGAAAATCTCATCGTCGTGCAAAAAAGAAGCTGGAAAAAAAACGCGGGTTTATCGCATTTGGCGCCAAATGATTGCGCAACGAACTTTGCGCGACGATAGATTCGTCGCGCAAATTCATGGTATTCTTGCGCGACGACGAGTGGCATTTGAGCGACGGATATATGTGCGACGAATAATGTATACTACGTCGCGCGAAAATGGATGTCGGCACAACTATGCGCGCCGGAAAAAAAAATTTGTGGGACGGCAAATACGTTTGCGCATCGAACAATGTGCGACGAATATATTTATTTGTCGCGCAAGGGCTTTCGATTTTGCGAGACGAAATACTCAATCCGTCGTGCAAAATCGTCGTTTATTACTTATTCAGTTTCAGCCATGGCAGAGGCAAACTGCACAAAATCCAGCAGCTTGCCTCAGCCTCTCTCTCCCTCTGTCTCGAACTTCATAGGCCAAGCAAACGCATCAATCTCATTTCGTTTATGAGTTAAACTATCTCTGCCTCCGGTAAGTTCATTGATTACGTATTTTTTGTCGTTAGTGTAAAAATATTACTGTAAATTCATACTAACGCCATTAATTTCGTTGTATATAGGGATATTATATGTGATTAGCGATTGGTAGAGAACGATTGAGAAGGTATTATATAAAATTAATTACATTATGTTTAGATTGTTATATTATGTTGTTCAGTTATGCACGTTGATGTACGAAGTTAATTGAAATTAACTTCATACATTTTTTTTTTGTAAAGCTTAGTTCCCGTTCGAGGTTAGTTGGACCGCGCATGGGTGGGTAAACCACGACTACGGTCCAATTAATTCTTGAATTGTCCCATACTTTGGACAGTTTGGAAATGCATAGTCGTGTCACGTAGTTTACAGCTACAGGATTAGGTTTCGATTGTGGAGATTTCGGTGTCATCTCGGTACGTTCTTCGGGTGGTACGTAGGTATTTTATATCTACGGTACCAAGATGCTGCCGAAATTCATCCACGTCGAAATCTAATCTCATGTAGTTGTAAATTACGTGGCATGACTATGCATTTCCGAATGGGATAGGGCCCTTACCGGAGGCATAAGGTGACGTTATGATTTTGTAAGAATACAACATGATTGTTGTATTGTGATTGTGGTTCCAGGAATTATGAGCAGAAGGTGGATACAGAACCCTAACAGGTGCGCAGACGAATACTTGGATGGAATCGAGGACTTTATTCACTTTGCACGGTCACACAACCCGGGTGCAACTAGAATCCGGTGTCCTTGTATGAGGTGTAACAATATGTTGTGGGAGACAATTGAAACTGTTCAATTTCATTTAGTAATGAATGGAATGATTGAGACATACAGCACTTGGAACCATCACGGGGAACAATTAGACATTGCTTCGTCTTCAAGGGCCACAAGAGTGGACAATGTTGAACCTATTGTGGATCCTAATGAACAAGTCATGGATATTATAAATGATACTTTTCCATTTGCATTGACGAGCAGCAATCAGCAAGGGGAAGATGATGTGCCTACACCAACGGATAGTGCAGAGTTTGAACAGTATGAAAAACTGTTAAGAAATGCTAACCAAGAGTTATATCCGGGGTGCGAGAGCTTTTCCGTTCTGACGGCCATTGTGGAGCTAATGCATGGAAAAGTAAAGTACCGTATGTCGAACCTGAGTTTCGATTACTTTTTGGGGGTTTTCAAGAGAATGCTTCCGACGGACAATTGTTTGCCGAAAGACCACAGACAGGCGCAGAAGATGTTGAGTGGTCTTGGATTGGGTTATGAAAAAATCCATGGCTTGAAAAACAATTGCATGTTATTCTACAAAGAGTATGAATCATTGGATACATGCCCTATATGCAATGAGTCAAGGTTCAAACAGACGTCTCAGAATAGAATAACTAAGGTTCCACAAAAAGTCATGCGTTATCTGCCCCTGAAACCAAGATTGCAGTGATTGTATATGTCGACGCATACTGCCACAGACATGAGATGGCATAAGCAAAAACGGGTAGACGACGATGTGATGCGGCATCCTGCAGATGGGGAGGCATGGAAAGAGTTCGATCGAACGTTCCCCGAGTTTGCTGCTGATCCCCGAAATGTTAGGCTGGGACTTGCCACTGACGGATTCAATCCGTACGGGGTTCTAAACCAACATCACAGTACTTGGCCGATTTTCGTATTCCCATATAATTTGCCGCCTTGGAAATGCATGAAAAAAGAGTACATGATGATGACTGTTTTGATAACTGAGGATCCTGATGTTCACTTTGCGGGCGGCAGTTATGTGGACTGTGAATGATTTTCCCGCATATGCAATGGTGTCGGGATGGAGCACAAAGGGTTATATGGCATGTCCTGTATGCAAGGAAGATGTGACTTCTGGTTGGCACGCTGGAAAAGTGTGTTACCTTGGGCATCGAAGATGGTTGCCATGGGATCACGAGTGGCGGGAAAAGGATAAAGAGTTCGACGGGAACAAAGAGCATCGTGCAAGACCTAGAGAATCGTCCGGTGATCAGATCTTGGATCAGCTTAACCATTTGGATTTTGCTCCGTTCGGGAAAACTGTTAGTCGAACCAGACCTGCTACACATATGAACTAGACGCACAAGTCTATGTTTTTTGAGCTCCCATATTGGTCGAAACTAAAGTTGAGGCACAATCTCGACGTTATGCATGTTGAGAAAAATGTGTTTGACACATTGATGGGAACTATTCTAGATATCAAGGACAAGACAAAGGACATGATAAAAGCTCGTCTTGATTTGGAAAGAATGGGCATACGAAGGGGTTTATGGCTGAAAAGGGGCAATGATAAAGCTATAAGGGATCTTGCATTTTTTTCCATAAAACCGAATGACAAAAAATAGTTTCTACAGTTTGTGTCGTCTGTAAAGTTTCCTGATGGGTATGCTTCTAATATCGCACATTGCGTGAATGTTGACGGGGGTAAATTTATCGGACTCAAGAGTCATGACTGCCATGTGTTTATGCAACGCCTACTTCCTGTTGGGATTCGACACCTGTTGCCGGAAGATGTAGTCAAGCCAATCATATTGTTGTCCAGATTTTTTTCCCAACTGACGGCAAAGACATTGCGAAAGACAGACATTCATCAGTTGCGTGATGGCATTGTCCAAGTCCTATGCAAGTTTGAGATGATATTCCCTCCGGCTTTCTTCACAAGTATGATCCACATGATGGTTCACTTGCCAGAAGAGGCATTGGTTGCTGGTCCAGTCAACTATCGCTGGATGTATCCTATAGAAAGGTATATAACTTGGCATCATTTCTGTATGCATCATTGGTTCGTATTCTTGCTACTTCCTGATTTTCATCTTTTCATTATATTTTGGCAGGCTTCTCGGAGAGCTGAAAAGAAGCGTACGCAACAGAGCGAAGCCCGAAGGATCAATTGTAGAGGCTTGGGTTCAATATGAGGCGCTGACTTTCTGTGGAATGTATTTAAAAGATGTGGACACGGCTTTCAATCGACCTCAGCGCAATAATGACGGAAGTGTGAGAAATGAGCAACTTTCTATTTTTTCACAAAGCGCACGACCCTTTGGAGATCATGTACAAGGGGAGTCATTTTCCAGAAAAGATATGGAGATAGCTCATTGGTTCGTATTGAACAATTGTGATGAGATAATGGCATACTTAGATGAGCATGAAGAGATGATGAAGCGAGAACATCCATCACATTTGTATTCCAAGAAACACCGTGAATTATTTCCAAAATGGTTCTTGCAATATGTAAGTTATAAGTATTTTGTAATTGAC